TTTACCCTTTCGAAATTGGTCGACTCAACGATATCGATCGAGGAATTGTCGCGACTCGCGAATCTTCGTTGACGACTTATTCGAATACAAGTATCGTACCAGTTGATAGTCTGGTCGACGAAGCATTGTCGTATCCTTTGATCCAACGCGCGTTTCTCGATCTATCGAAAATTAATATCCTTTTCGAATTAGAAACGATCGTACCCTTTTCCTGCGGTTATCACTGGATCTCCGTTCTCCGTTCTCCGTTCTCCGTTCTACACTCTACGCTCTACGTTCCATGTCCTCCGTTCTACATTCTACGTTGCGTGTTCTATGTTCTACGTTCTACGCGCTATGGCCGACTATTGTGCCGCGACTGCTATAACATGGTCTCGAAACAACCATCGATCAGAAACGGAGAAACCAAGAAATCTTACAGCGTCCCCTCTGTTTCGTCGATTTCACTTTGACCCGTGGACAGGGTGGTATCGAGAACATTGAAAAAATCGTCTCGACGATTCGATTTCCGAACTTGCTCCCCCGTAACGCGTTGTACCGTAAGTGCTCGCGAAGCGTGGCGAAGACGTCCTAGCGTAGCGTGGTCCGGTGGAAAAGTGGGTCGTAAAACCAGGCCACCAAGACAAGTGGCACACCGTCTCTCCGTGTGGTTACCTCGTAACTCGTTCCCGGTTCTCTTCCTCCCGCGAGCGAGCACGCCGATCCACGGTACCGCTCTGCTAGCATCGCACCTTTGGTTATTAGTGAAAGTTAACCGGTAACTTTCGACTTTGACAATGATTACTGCACCCGCGAATGCTTCGCTTCGTTCGAATACGACTCTCTATCCTATCCTAAACCTAATTCCATCCTATCCTATCTTTTACCCTTCGATCTATCCCCTTGCCAAAACCAAAATTCTTTCGATCGATTACCAACGTCGCACTTTACCCGCTTCGTCTGCTTTATATGCGAAAACTTGCCCGCCGACACTTGTCCAAACTTGAACAAAAATAAACCAAAATTTGCCCAAAACTTTTCAAAGCAAAAACTTCTTCGTCCAGATGGCACATTTTGTTGGACTCACGATGGAATCGCTATCGTATTTATGAAGATACTTTTCCCCTTGTCGGCCATTACACAAGATCACGGGCAAACCAAAGAATCATCGCGACACGCGATCGACTACTGATGAGGAACGGAAATACAGCATCCAAAGACTCCTCTTACCACGCTATCACCTTTATGCCTTCTCTTTTTCCTTTCCCCTCCAATACCGTTGTTCGGTTACTCGCGCTTTCTCTTTCTCTCTCTCTCTCTCTCTCTCTCTCTCTCTCTCTCTCTCTCTCTCTCCCCTCTCTTCCTCTTTTTCTTGCTCGTCGCATCTCTTATTTTCCCTCACTTTGCACTCACACAGGCACTCTTATTTCTGTCTCAATTAAATAACGTATGCAAAGTGTTCAAACAAAATGTTAATTTTCATTTTCTATCGCATTTCCATGTGTCTATCTTTGCATTTCATATTCTGATAAATATTTCAGAAGTTTGATTAACAAACGATGAAACATTAATTTGCTGAAAAAATAAAACTCGTATTATGTCAAATGAGAAAGTTTTATTAAAATGTTATGTTAAACCGTGTCAAACTAATGGCTATGAAATTTGAATTTATTCTCGAAACATAATTTATCGATCGATGATAATCGAACGTTGCACGTCGCGAGAACAGACACGAGATTTCGCATTTATCGACAGATACCATCTAACGGACAATTGAAATACTTGTCGACTCGTCGTCAGCCGTCGCAGTTACCATCGGACGAATAAATAGCGTGTTGAAAATTCTGTTACGAAAGTAATCTTTTGCATTGCTACTATATAGTATGTACTACATGGTACTCGGAATGTATAGCGGAACACGAGAACTCTTTGTATGGAATTAGAAATAATGCATAGTTTTACAGTACATATGTGAAAGATGAAGACTCCAGAGGGAAAAGTTGTTGCATTGGGTTTCCAAGGTGAGTCTTCGACCAAAAGATTATCTCGCCCCAACAACCATTGCTATCAATTTGAATTTTTCACACATTTCTTTTCTTTTCTTTCTTTCCTTTTCTTTTCTTTTCATTTCATTTCTATTCTTTTCTTTCCTTTTCTTTCCATTTCTTTTTATTTCTTTTCCTTTCTTTTATCCCACCGACATTTCATTCCGTGTACGTACGTAAATCCACTGAAATTCGATAACGCGAAACTTTCACGGACGTATCGTTTGTTACGTTTTCAAATTAATTTCTAAATTTGGTTAAATATTTCAAGTTTATCTGAAAATTTGTACGATATCAAGTTGTACGGTTTGACGGCCATTTACAAAATTGCTGTGTAGGTTAGGTTTCGAATAGGTTCGTGGAATGTGGATACACAACACGCCAGGATCGCCCGTAAAGATCGCGGGCCTCGGAGCAAGCGTGACCCTTACAAAAATACATATTTATATGCACCTAGAATGAAAAATATCTAATTTAATAAAAACCGACTCGCTGTACCTCTGTAGCTGAATGCACGCGCATACGCGTATTGTAACGTACTTATATCAAAGTTGATCTACGACCTAACATATATGTATATGTATTTATGTACGTGTATTTTAAACGGATGACCGGACTACAATTAGAATCTAGGCATACACGACTATGCTGTAGCCAGAACGGACTGCAGGATTCATTAATTTTTCAGGTGTTGGAAAAACAAGCATAATCTGTCGTTACATCAACAAAACTCTGTCCGAACGAAGTCATCCGACGATAGGTGCTTGTTATCACACGTGCTACCTGACCGTCGAAAATACAAGAATAGTTCTAAAGGTATAACGTTGCTAAAATCCAAACGTTAGAGGTCAGACCAACCGCACTTTCGTTTTTCTTCTCTTTCCATTTACGAGTTCGTCCCGATACGAAACGAAACGAAACGAAACGAAACGAAACGAAACGAAACGAAACGAAACGAAACGGAACGAAACACTCTTTTATTCTACATACGAATAGTATCGTATTCGAAAATTCTTATATGCAGTTGTATACTTGTACGATAGAAATTGAATTCGTAAAGCGACAATGACGGGGACCGACCGATGTATTCGCGAGACGAATCTATCGATAAAGTGCGATCGCATCGGTTGCAGGTATGGGACACAGCGGGACAAGAGAAATTCAGATCGATGGCACCGATGTATTATCGAAGCGCGAACGCCGCTATGCTGGTGTTCGATCTAACTCAATACGACACGTTCACGGCGATGAAGGAGTGGGTAACGGAGCTTCATAAACACGTTGAGAACAGCATCGTGTTGGTCGTGATCGGAAATAAATCGGATTTGGAGGAGAAACGGCAAGTCGACGCAGCGGAGGGTCGAGCTTACGCGACAGAAATCGGCGCGGGCTACCACGAGACGTCGGTGGTCCAGAACGAAGGCATCGAGGACGTGTTTCTAGATATCGCCAAGGGACTTGTCCGATTATTGCCGACCGAGTGCGACCAGGACTTGGATGCCTACGGAGAGACACCTCGAAACGTCGATGTCGTCCACGAGCTATGCGAGACGAGCGAACGGTCGCGCAAATGTTGTTAACTTTTGCCTCGCGGTTAAACGCTCCAACGCTCCAACTCCAACGCCCATTTATTACAACTGCATAGAAATCGCGACGCGCGTCTCCACCGTATCGGTGCGCGAGAAACTTGTCGCACAAATTCTCCGCGTCCTCGACGAATGGTTTTCAAGAAGATATCCCGTAGAGGAGACTCTCGCGTAGTTCCAAGCGCGGTTTTACTTTTATGGTTCGCCCAATGGCCTTTCTACAGTATATTTTCAATAAAATAAGAGAACATTCGATGCGTTTCATATATGTATTGCGCACATGTACCGAAAAGCCTTTCATCGTTGTTTTCCTTCGATACAGAAAACATCGGAGGAAATATGCTTTCCTCCGTCGATCGAAATTACCCGAGACGCGAAGACTCGCTAACGAACAAAATCGGAGAGAACGAGTAGACGTTTCAAGCTTATAAGCCGAGTCCGGAACGATAATCGGAAGATGAATCATCCTGTCTTTGGGCCAGGCCTCAGGAAGCGTGACGCGTCTCGGCTTTGTTTAACTTATCTCATTCTCGGTTACGTAAGTATTCCCGTAGTAATAATCTACTACTTGTGTGTGCCTACAGTCTGTACAGCGATTCAAAATAAGGACGCTGAAACGCGATTCCACGCGCGAGTCACGCATTAAATCGCATAATACTGTAATGGCGAGTCGGTCAAAGTCCCTACCGCGTATAACAATGAAATCGTGGTAGCCGACCGAAGACTTTGATGACTTTTTAATCGGTTTCAGTTTCAGTTACGGTTACGGTTACGGGTTACGGGTTACGGTTACGGTTACGGTTACGGTTACGGTTACGGTTACGATTACGATTACGATCGATTGCGTGAGAATTTCAATGTCCTACATTCTGTTCCAGACACATCGAACGTGTTACCTTTGACAAAATGATCGCAAGTCGATTTAAATATTCCCTCGCTAGCTATTCCAACCGAACTGAAATCTACAAGAGTATCGTCACACGGAAGCAGGACTTTGAATATAACCTGTGTGCGAGAAGAAAGGCTCGCGCGATACGATGCACCGAGACATCGTGTCTTGCTATTCGCTACACTCTACATTCTACACGATACATACATATACGTATACGCGTTCGTATTGTAATACAATGTACTGGGCGCGCAGGTGTATGGCTCGAAGAGTTCCTTTATGCTTACGTGCAAGAAAGAAGGAGACCAACAACGGAGAAACGATTCTAACGTAATGTTCACTTTAGAGAGCTCCTATTACGTTTCGTACGAGAGAGTGGTCCGACACCGTCCGACAGTTAGATGGGAACTTTGGTGAAGTTCAGATCGCTGATCACGCACAATAGGATAGGAAATATGTATATCCAGTGTAGCACATTTCGTTGCATCGTATCGATGATACGCACGAGCCTGTGCGGACGCGAATCTATGTGATATCGCGGGAATATACGTATCTGTACAATAATACAATATATACGATACGATACGGTATAGTAATACATACGTATCGTACGATATTCTCGAACCGATCCGAGTACACCATAGTGAAACTGTAAAACATGATCAAACGGAGATGTGCCCTCTTCTCATTCTCGGTCGTATTTCATTTATTTAGTATTCTCGAACAGTGTTTCCGATTCCAGTGTCTAACGATCGATAATCGCATAGCCGTTCTTGGAAATGGTAAAATTTCGATGGCGTTCAACGTTCCATGGTAATCGAGCTATTAAAAAGAATAACGTTTCTTCTCTTAGATTGTTACGCAAGAATATCCGTCGGGTCCAAGTTATCCGACATGGACATCGTTTTGCGAGTCGAGGTCGCAAGCTTAACAGAATGCGAGGAACAGTGTTCGCAAAGCAAATCTATTTGCAATTCGTTCACGTTTGGGTAAGGAAAAGTTGGATAAGTTACACTTTCGACCCTCCAAAACTTGCTATCGTTCTCCCCTCTCTCTCTCTCTCTCTCTCTCTCTCTCTCTCTCTCTCTCTCTCTCTCTCTCCCCTCTCCCTCTCTATCCGTGCTTGCCTCCCTACCGGTGACGCGCGCGCGTGTTGCACACCTTTTTGAAAATACGTGTCCGGTTTATCTTTGAATTTTCAATCTTCCGTCAGCGTTGGTGCAAAGGGTAATGGTACCTGTGCATCGAGCACACGCATACCGGACCTCGAAGATCTGGTAATCGATCCCGACTACGATGTCTACGTGAAAAAACGACAAAGTTATCCATGGTGTAATGCCGCTCGTTCCTACGGCCGTTTCACCGTCGAATCTGCCGACAGATCGAATACAGAAGGACACGATACACCCGATCGTACCGACGATAGTTCTTCGCGAAAACCGATAAAACCCCTGTCCTCGACGTTCTTTCGCACCTTCTCAACTCCGAGGTAATATCTGTTCGATCGTATTTCTCTAATTTTATTTAATCCCGACTGTTTCACCGCTTTTGTTCGCCGCATCGCATCGCCGCGAGATTAACATCTTGGAATAGCGAAACTATCGAATAATTCGTGAAACGAAACTTGTAAAAAGATACAGAGATACAGTTTTGTTCGAATTTCAAGACTAAAGAGTGATTATGGAAAAGCAAACCATGGATTCGCTGGCGTCGACGATCCACTCGTCGATCGTAACGGACGTTTTCTTCCCAGCGACGACAACCGTAGGGTCTTGGACATTCTCGCCAATAGGAATCAACAGAAATCGTCGAACAATCCTTTCGGTGAGTTTCTGGAAATTTTCGACAATAATTTTCTGCGATACCACATTCTCCCTTCTTCTTTTCTACCGCTGCTTTTTCTTCTCCTTCTTTCTCTTCTTACAGCGCCATTAGAATCGCCATCGACGTTACATTTCCTCCGAAAATCCAATACACGCGATCATCGTAGACATTTTCCATAAAACTTTCGATCGATCCGATCGCAACGATTGTACAAGAAATCTTTTGCAAGCGCATCGCGATCACACGAACGGCAGGCTAGTTGAAATAATTGTACTATATGTCCTTGATGGGGAACCTCGAAGGATACTTCAAGATGTGTTGCACATTGGTTTCTCGTGTGAATCATTCTATTATAANCTCTCTCTCTCCTCTTTCTCTCTTTCTCCTCTCTCTCTCTCTCCAATCTTTCTCTCTCTCCCCTCTCTCTCTCTCTCTCTCTCTCTCTCTCTCTCTCTCTCTCTCTCTCTCTCTCCCCTCTCCCTCTCTATCCGTGCTTGCCTCCCTACCGGTGACGCGCGCGCGTGTTGCACACCTTTTTGAAAATACGTGTCCGGTTTATCTTTGAATTTTCAATCTTCCGTCAGCGTTGGTGCAAAGGGTAATGGTACCTGTGCATCGAGCACACGCATACCGGACCTCGAAGATCTGGTAATCGATCCCGACTACGATGTCTACGTGAAAAAACGACAAAGTTATCCATGGTGTAATGCCGCTCGTTCCTACGGCCGTTTCACCGTCGAATCTGCCGACAGATCGAATACAGAAGGACACGATACACCCGATCGTACCGACGATAGTTCTTCGCGAAAACCGATAAAACCCCTGTCCTCGACGTTCTTTCGCACCTTCTCAACTCCGAGGTAATATCTGTTCGATCGTATTTCTCTAATTTTATTTAATCCCGACTGTTTCACCGCTTTTGTTCGCCGCATCGCATCGCCGCGAGATTAACATCTTGGAATAGCGAAACTATCGAATAATTCGTGAAACGAAACTTGTAAAAAGATACAGAGATACAGTTTTGTTCGAATTTCAAGACTAAAGAGTGATTATGGAAAAGCAAACCATGGATTCGCTGGCGTCGACGATCCACTCGTCGATCGTAACGGACGTTTTCTTCCCAGCGACGACAACCGTAGGGTCTTGGACATTCTCGCCAATAGGAATCAACAGAAATCGTCGAACAATCCTTTCGGTGAGTTTCTGGAAATTTTCGACAATAATTTTCTGCGATACCACATTCTCCCTTCTTCTTTTCTACCGCTGCTTTTTCTTCTCCTTCTTTCTCTTCTTACAGCGCCATTAGAATCGCCATCGACGTTACATTTCCTCCGAAAATCCAATACACGCGATCATCGTAGACATTTTCCATAAAACTTTCGATCGATCCGATCGCAACGATTGTACAAGAAATCTTTTGCAAGCGCATCGCGATCACACGAACGGCAGGCTAGTTGAAATAATTGTACTATATGTCCTTGATGGGGAACCTCGAAGGATACTTCAAGATGTGTTGCACATTGGTTTCTCGTGTGAATCATTCTATTATAAAGAGACCAACGATGAGAGGACACGAGGATGACGCGCGTGGATACGTGTACGTACGAACGGTCCAAATAAAAAGATACATACGAGCGTACGCGTTTAATCAAAATGAAAATAACAGATGTCGCGTTCTACGATCGGCACACGCTGACCGAACAGCGAATAACCAACCAAACATTTCGAGAAAAGTCAAATATATCTCTAGACTAAATATACAAGACAGCTCTATCTCGTAGAAAAACTCGAACGACGCGGCGTTCTTTCTCTAACGTGCGAACAATCCCTTCCACTATTCCTGCGGAAACGTTCACTTTTCTATAAAACCACATACGACTGTATTTTCTCCATTATTTCTTGCGAGCCTTACAATTTCCATCTCGTCGACTTGCTCGCGCGTCTAGTCAACCTCGCAATCGCAGTATCGCGTTAGTAGAACCATTCTACGGTATGCGCGCATAAGTTCGTATCTACGCGCAACGTATACATACGACACGTGGAACATGTACGCAGTCGAGACTTTGAGTACTCGACGGAATTGGCCGTATATTTTACACCGATAAACTGTATAAACGAACAATTTCTCGTATTCTCCTCGCGTAGGTATATACGAAATTCGGAAAAATTCAAAGAAATTCAGACAAATTTAGAAAAATGAGGAAATCGTGGTACCGGTGGTGGTTGTGGCGGTGGTGGTGGTCTTTCGTGCTTTCGCTGGTCCTTCTTCCTATCGTTCAAAGTTCAACCTTGACACGGAAGAAAGCTGACAGGAACGATTTCACGCGTAAGTTTAGCAGCGGCGCGATCGCGCGTTTTACCGTTTTTTTAACGTTCGCGTTTTTCTACGATTCGAAAGATAAAAATGTTGCTACTAGAGACCTCGCGTCTTACTCGAACCTACTCGCCACATTCAATTACCGATTACCAACTACCAGCTACTAATTACTAATTGCTACTTGTCGCATACATCGCGTTACTTCTACCGACGATATACGACGACGACGACGACGACGACGACGACGACGACGAGCATAATCCGAATTTATTGTACCATTTAGCGGTGACTTGTCAACGCAAACTAGAACCTGGTAAGAAGACGATGGAACTGCTTGTCGAGCGTGTCGTTGATTGCGAAAGCATGCAGGAGTGTCGTCGCGCGTGCGATCGCGAGAGGACGTTCGACTGTAAAGGTTTCAACTACAGGTATGCGAATCATCGACCATCTTCTATTACTTTGTTATCGTAAAACTGACGCAACATCGGTGTCCAGTTGAAAAATTCTGTTTATTACCGATACTCTATTACACTCATTGGAATATACATATAGAAGACGAAACGAATGCGTTCTAATTTCAAGGCACCAGGCAAATGGGTCGAAGAGTGCGTGCGAACTGATAGCTACACCATACTTTCGCATGAACGTCGACAAAGACTTTTTAATCGATTCCCGATACGATTACTACGAAAGAAATCGAAATTGTATGCCCTTTGCGGGAAGCGACGCGGAAGATACTTTTCTCCAACGAAACCGACCAACCGGAGCATGGCCGCGGATCGAACAGGACAACGCGAACGGCGATAGCGATCTCTTCCGGCAGCAGTCTCTTCCTACAGACTTTTCGCGTCATCGAACGATGTATCCATCGATGACGAGCGACCAATTTATTCGGGACTCGTTCGCTAAGCACGGTGAGTTACGGTTACAGTCGCAACTTACGCTTTACAGCTTACAGCTTGTAGCTCGCAGCCTTAGAACGGTCATGTTACACGGTTTACGGTAAGAATTTTCTTACGCCCGTATCGCATTACGAAAAGTTAACTAGATCCTATGGTCCGTAGAGTTTGGTTTCCGTCGAACCGCAGCTTCCAGTTGGTACGGTAACGAGAGAAATTCGGAAGGTAGCCCTGTTCTTGGCAATTCTTTCCGCGACCACGTCCACGATGGATTTTCGAACGTAAAATCGACGGTATTTCCCGACTACCGTTTAGACGAGAGATCGTTGCAACGCGATACTTTCTATGCACGAGACAACGAACATTCCTCGGAGAAATTCTACAATTACGGCAGCGCGTTCGGATACGACGATAGTTACCACGTGCCTGCTGTTGCGCCCTCGAAAGACTATGGTTTCGGGGATACACGCGACGCGACACCAACCGGACGAAGATGTTTCATTACGTATGCAACCGGCTCGAAGCTCGGTAGACACGTTTTACGAAAGTCTTGCCTCGCGCGCGACCCGAAGCAATGCGAACAACTTTGCCTCGCCGAAACAGCCTTCGTCTGCGGAAGCTTCGCTTACAGGTCAGTGCGAACGCGAGTGCGCGACGAGCACCTGTCCTACGTACGTACTCGCATAAACGCGCATGTACATGGTAAATGTAAATGCAAATGTCGAGGTTCTTTCTCTCTCGACATATATATATATATATATATATACATATATCATATATATCATCGGTTTCTGTTTTTCTCCCTATACAGATACAATGTGTTAACTACAAATCCCACCGACAATTGCTTGTTCAGCGATCTTTCGCATAAAGATATCAGCTCTTACACGGATCTCGAGCCAGATCGAGATTACAACGTCTTCGTACTGGTGGAAGATCCAAATGTTTGCTACTCGAAAGAAGAAACGAATCACCTGCCCGCGGAAGAATGTTTCTTGAGAGTGAGGAGCGGATTTGGTATACCGGCGGACATAGCGAGAAAGTCAACGTTCGCGCATAATTTGGGAGAGTGTCAGTTTGCCTGTACAATGTCGCAAGAATTTGTCTGTAGAAGCTTCGTCTTTGTTTACGCGACAACGAGACACCGCGAGCGCGGTCCAGAGCGCGGTCGTACCGATCCGAATTGTTTTCTAAGCGATTGGCCATCGGGTAACATCGATCCTGTCGATATGCCCGATATGGATGGCGCTGAACTGTACGAAAGAAGCAGCCTCAACCACGGCTGTAGAACGTATCCTTTGGTACCAACGGTTCCCGAGTTAGTCGCATTCTACGAAAAGGGATCCCATTCGACGCATTCCGACGAACTTTGTTATACTCGGTATCACAAGCCGTGCAAATTAATGTCTCACGCGATAGTGACTTCGACGCGGACTCCTACGAAATCGGAGTGCCGCCAAAGGTGCTCGTCGATGAGATACGCGGGTACGATACCGTGCATGTCGTTCAACTACATGTGAGCACATACTATTTTACCATTTTCATAGTTTTCACAATTTTCAAAATTTTCCCAATCTTCTTCGCAATTTCCACACCAAGAAGAATCTATCTTATCCCCCGTTTCTCTGCGTACAAGATGATACAAATCGTCGAATATTATTCATAGGGGGACTAGCGCCGACGATACCCGACACAATTGTTGGTTGAGCGACATATCCATACAAGACCTAAGACCAAATTTAGACTATACCCACGACGACAACCATGTATTATATATGTGGAAAGATCTCGAACCATCTTGCGGGTTTTCAACGAATCCGCTTTACGAGACGAACGTCGCGCCCACATTCAAAGACCGTGGACAACTTTCGGCGTCGTTTCCTCCCACGTTGGATCGGTCGAATCCGCAGATCGTATTCGATGAGAAGATTGACGGGACCGGATCGGCTTTTCGTTCCCTTTCGCGGACAAGTAATCGACTTCAGCCCAAACTGTACGGACGCGATTACGAGCGAGTCGATGGCCACGAGACAGACCTCGGCGACGTCGGCAGCCACAATGGTGGTGATGGTGGTGGTGGTGGTGGTGGTGGTGGTGGTGGTGTCCGACCATCGTCGCCCGACGATCGTTTCGAGTCTGGAGTACCCGGAGCGTCTGGGTTAGATCTACAGTTCCACTTTCACTGTAAGTCAAGCAGAAATTCCGAACAAGCGAAACCTTCGATAAATTAGTCGACTAATCGCTTCTGTTTCGCATTTACCCATTACCATTCGTCCATGCAGCACGTACACTTTCGACGTTCCAACGGTACACGGTGAGCGGACACCCTTGCAGGAACGGCACGCTTTGTCAACGAAACGAGGTGGCTGGCTTTTGGTCCTGTGAAATCGATGGAAACTCTGAATACGGTAGCTGGGATTATTGTTGCGAACCTGATCACAAATGCGGCTTCTCGCAAGGATATCATTATCCCTGGTACACAACGATCGCGATACAACGATAATAACAAAAGTGATATCTCAAGTATATTTTAGGTGCTACGTAGGTTTCGATCACGACCAATGGCGGCCTTGCAGCGAAACCTATTATCCCTATTATTTATCCAAAGATCATCTTTCGTTCTATCGCCAATTACCAGCGTATTCTGCTCGTCATTGGCCCGTCATCTATCAACACGAAACGTTACCGTCGGACTGCGCTGGCAACGTTACGGAAAATGAAAGCTATCATGATTAGAAATTCGAAGGAATTTCGATTATCCGGACACAAATCGACGAAAACTTACTTCGGCTCTTCTGTCTTTTGTTGCACTAATCGTTCGAACATGTTAACTTCTCTATTACGATGTATTTCGTCGCATATATGCAAAACCTGTACAAGAAATACACAAACATTTATTTTTCAGAATGTTCATTCTTTTACGCTCGAAAACGCCTACGTTTTCCTATGTTCGTTTCCTTATTACCACCTAGTGTCTTCTTTTCGCTATGTTAAATCAAGATCGTAAATCGAGTCCGTTTCAAGCGTGGAAGAATTTTTCTTCAAAATAATTTATACATATATGTGTATGAATTCTGAAGAGGACAGAAATCTCCTCACCCCTTTGCTACCCTCTCGAAAAAGCCCTTACAAATTAATGTTATTAGTTTCAAAATGACCATGTATACAAATTTATTTTCAGGCTTATTTTTATTTTCAAAACAATATATCGCATCCACGTCATGCAAAGAACGTCCATTTATTATTGTAAATATAGAGGACAGACGGTTCTTGCCGCCTTTACCATAAAATTGCCATAAGCCGGGGCAATAATGATGCCTCTTGTGTCGAAATCGAGAAACTTCGTTCAGGTTCCGTACAGCGCTATCTAGTAAATGGCAAAAGGCTGAAACCGTTGGACACACAAGTTTTACCGACAGTCGTGTTTGACCATCAGTTTCAGCGTTTTGCTACCGATTAATTGGCGCTGTGCAAAGGCCGAAAAAAGCTTCTTGTAAATTACAAATTTCAGGGTTATGCACATCGTAAGCTCCAACAGGAATTTCGCGAATTTGGTTATACGGTAGTCTATTAAATATCGCAAATCACGACACGATTGTTGGTGTTCTTTTCTCATCTGTCATGGCTTGATGCAGCTGCCGCCATGATTTCTTCGCGAGCGCAATATAGGCGTTGCATATCTAGGTACATGTATAATTCAAATCGTTAACGTTACATTACAGTTACGTCTTACCGCCGAGTTTGTTATGGCGGCGTTACCGACGCTGCCGTATGTAATATGTACATAATATATATGTACATGCATACATACTTATACGTATGTAATTTATTTCCGAGAGATAGACGATTATGCAGAAGATGCAACGATTTCTGTGTATATGTAATTCTATGTTCTATATCGTCTATATGTGATTCTATGTGAGAGAAAATGAGAAGCTGTAGCGTGTAGCAACTTGTGTTGTTGACAAAAGATTCTGTTTGGTTCGTTAAGTATAAATGAGCGTTGCTTTTGCGATCGAAAAGGAGAAAAGGTGTGTATGGAAATCTAGCATGCGGTAAAAAAGCTGTACTATACCGTATAGTTGTTGCTTACATTTACATATGTATGTTGACTTTTTTAGAAATTTTTATACGTTTGTGGGGAATCGATTGCATTATAAAAATGCCAAAGACACGATTGATTACACGTTCGGTAACGAACACCCGACCATCTCATATGACTTTAAACTTGGAATGTGCCGAAGAACCGCTCAGCGAAGCGCAATTGATGTTACGTTCGGAACTCAAGGAAAATCACGACAAGGTATGTGTTTCTCGCTTTTCCATTCAAACTACACCTTTATTAATACACTTGACGTAGACCATTTCTAATGTTTGTCGACTGCCCTTTTTAGGTTGCTGCTACTTTAGACGAATTGGTTAAAGATCATGGTGGTAAATTGATATGTCAGGCAGGAAACGTTAACGGTTATCAGTATACGGTGTAGGTATTATTTTCCATGTAGTCGCTCTATTTTTTACAGTTGTCGTACCTCTTAAAGACTTCGATGACTTTTACCTTTTATGTATCAGGCCCGCGAATCCAGCGTCAACGGTGGTAAAAAATAATTCCCAATCCATCGTCGGTGTCGTGAGTATAATTGAAAACGTTTGCAAAGCGATGCGATTATCGATACGTTGTTACATTGGTAGCATTTACAGAGTCAAAATAAGAATCAACAACCTATTAAACTGAACGTATTGAATAACGCGAATGGTTCTCAGAGCAACATACAATTGGTCGTGGATTCACGAATGGGAGTTATCCTTGGTTCTGTAGCTCAGCCTCAAGGTAATAAATTATTTTTTACGTTATACCGTTAAGTTATAATAACGATTACAATGCCTGAAAATTATAGTAACGTCTATGACAACTGCTTCAACGGTATCGATAACGGCTCCACCAGCAACTCCTGCATCGACGTCCACATCCATGACAACAACTTTGCCTACGATCGCTCATTCTCAAACAGAAAATGTGAGGATAGAGAATAAATATTATAGCCTTCGACATTGTACGATTTAACTCTCTTATATCTAAGAACTTGCTAACTTTTTTTTTCTCAGTACAAATACACTCGATCCGGGCGTCGCACAAAAGTTCTTCAAACACAACAGCCTGACATAATAGAGGAAGTATGTTACTCGTAATTATCATTTAACTTTACTATTTTCTGATTTCATTGACATTCCGACTCTGATTCTGTGTAGCCTGTGTTAGTTCCTCGCGGAAGACAAAAAGTAGGATGTTCAACGCACGTGGTTACACCGAGTAAGTTGCGCCAAACAATCAAACTTTATATGTAGCTAACAACGTACCTGGAGAAGCGCGATACTGTCAACGACCATATCAATATTTCTTTTATTACATCAATATTTCACGTCCCACTTTCAGCCACTACAAGTCCGCAAGGAGTTACCAATCTCAGAATAAAAACTGTAAGCAAACAACAGATTACACCGGTTGTATCGTCAACTGTGACCACCATAAACGCCAATACAGGGACGACGGCGAGATTATCCATGACCAAACCGACAGAACACACCAGCATCGGTGGAATATCTGTCGGAAATAAAAACGCAGGTCAGAGATCGAAACTTCTCCTATGTTGTATAGGATGTAACTGTATAGGAAGTACTCTTGTCGCGTCAACTACTTTCCGTTACAGTCTTTTTATGCTTTTCTATGAATAGAACGTTAAGGAAAAACAGTAGTAAGAATATAGGATCAGCCACTTAATTCCTGCAATTGAATTTTCATTCAGCTTGCGAACAAATAGACGAGTCGAAGAAGAATCTTCCAGATGGTAGGGAAGTAACGTTCAATAAAATGAATGGCGGCAGGACATTCCCTTCGTTGGTTGTCATAGCAAGACCTAATCTGCGCACGAAAGATATTACGGCGCAAATAGCTCAAAAAGAAAGGTCGGAGTTAGGTATTTATCTAAATCCAGAAGTAATTCATTCATCGTTCATTCAAGTTGTTTTATTTCAAACAATTTCAACGATTTTTGTACCTTTTAGATATCAAAGTCAAGAGTGTACTGATGTTTTCCGCTACAAAGTTTGCAGAATGGCTGATACAGCAAGGTCTGGTCAAATCGGAGCAATACTGTGCTCAGCATAGCAGTAGTTATCAAAAAACTAAATTAAAATTAGGAATGTACAGCGACCAAGGTACATTTCCATATTCAGGAGGATACGTATGGATTTCGAGTTGCTGCCCCGATCGTTACGTATCGGTTTTCTCCGGATCGATTTTTCAAGGAGCACCTTATACACCGACAGTTCTACTGAAACTGATTTATCATTGGGCATGTCAAACAAACGTTCAGAACGTTGTTTCGTGGGTAAAAGTGACCAACGTATACGTGAAAAATTTTTACACTCATCTACGTAGCATTTGTACAGCGGCGGTTTGGGATAAAACTCATAAAATGGGAGGTAAAAATTCAGTAATACAGGTCGGCGTAATCAGTTTGGGTACAACGTCGCAGGATGGAAACTTAAGGCAAGTCAAAGTCGAAGTACTCGGCGTGCTGGATTATGCTACTTTGGATTTGAGATTGCGAGCATGTGATCCGGTGCAAGATGGCGACAGATCCTACAAAAGACGATTCAATAACATCTTACACCCGTTGAAAGACTGGGTACACACAGACTCGAAAATCATGACAGACTTCACCGTTGACAAAAGCACCCTCGAAGAAATGGGTTTCAGTTATGTCACACAATCCGCATTCTCCGAACAGAATCCTCGAAATGTTATGAGCAATTATCATATTATGGAATATCTGAGGAAAATTGTTCCAAGAATGTTTCAAAATACTCTCAGTTTGCTCAGTAGACAAATGATACAACAGTTCTTGGATGAATTGGTATGGAGAGAAATATACGGTTCGACTGCTGCTCGAGCATTCGACAATATTATCGCACATATTGCTGAACAAACAAGGATCGATTTCAACGAGAGCCTATTGGACCGTTTAGCTAAAATAGCTGCGAACCCTTTTCAAAATTGGTCCTACTCGAACGTTAGTCCACCACCTCTGATACCTTTGGCGATCGCGAGCAAAGAAGACCTTCAAACCGGTTGTGATATTTTAATACAATCGAATACCGTAGCGAGCAATAACATAAATCAGAAATCGCAGCAGCAGCAACAACAACAACAACAACAACAACCACCGCCGTCGTCATCGTCATCGTCGTCAACATCATCGTCGTCGTCGTCATCATCCGAAACATTGCCGTCTTTCAACCAAACGACTAGGCCAGGACCAAAAAAGGGACGAAAACGAAATATTGCGATAGCGATGACCACAACAGCGAGCAGCCCAGAACCCGACGCGAAGAAACCCATGTTCGACTCTAAAGTTACCACTGGTAAAGACAGAGATAAAGAAAGCAAAACCGATCAAATACAATTACAAGAGTTTTATTATGCCACCATGGAAGGTGACAAAAGTATTTTATCGAAGGAACAGAAGTGCTCGCTGTACTTGAAATGTTTCTTATGTTCAATGACGATGCGCACCAACACGGACGTGATGGAGCACACTATCAGTCATGTTCCACCTCAAGTGCCTGGACAATCCGATTCACCCGTCTGCATATACTGTTGTACAGCTTTTTCGTCTCAGCATCAAATGGTTACCCATGTTACAGAATCGCACAGTAACTTTGGTCACTCGGACAGCGGCATGGTTGTTTGCGCCATTTGCGAACAAAAGTTCGGGAACAGCGGACTCTTAATCAATCATTTGTCGTCGATGCATTATCCCTCGGAGATGCCGTATCGGTGCGAGAGCTGCGGTTACCGGACTTCCAGTCACAAGGATGCCGTCGACCATTTCTACCGAGTTCACGAGAAAGGCGAAGGTTTACAGTGTCCTTATTGCCTGAAAGTGATACAGTTCGTCAGCGAAGGTAGCCCCAGCATTACCAGCGTTCACGCTTTCCTACTGCACATGCAACGGCATGTTATCCGAAGAGAACAGGGACGAGGAAACAAGTGCTCTAGATGTTGTCTCTGGTTCAATCAAAAGAGCTCGTTAAAAGTTCATCAAAGGCAACTACACGATTGCGTTTCAGGCTCCAAAGTTGTCCCATATTCCAGCAGCAACAACAACGGCATACTGATATCGAAACAACGACCACAAAACAGACGGTTTGATATCGATAGTCCGGTAACAGAATTACCTCAAGACGAGAAAATGAAAAAGTGGGTTTCCGTACCGATCACGGTCAACATTCATCTCACGGCTGAACATTTGTCTTGCCAGGAGTGCGAGGAGGACGTCGATGAGCAAAATCATTATCCCGGCGAGCAAAGATGTCAACAGTGTCGCTACATAACTTGTTGTTGGCGAGCATTCAAAGAACACCAACAGCAAATCCATAACGAACGTCCGATGACCAGCCTCGTGGTCCCTTCTCCTCTTATTAATATTCCGTTGGAGAGAAGAATGCAATGTGCCTGCGGTTACGCGACCACCGATGGAAATCAGTTGGCCACACATTTGGTGAAATGCCGAAAGGTATCCGCCTATCCAATCGAGGATGCTGCACCGTCCGGCATGTTGGATAGTTTAGGTTTAGTTCCAAAAGCTGTTTCCGAAGAGACAGTTGCCGATGGCAAAAGGACTAACTTACGATAAACTCTGCGAATCATCTGATTAATGCAAACACGTAAAGAGCTCCATACTATAGAAAACAATTGTCGCGTCATTAGACTTGGCAAATTAGACCATCTCTAACTAACGGCCGGCTAAGGAAGCGTACATCTAATCGAATCCAGTCGATGATCCTACCAGCAATTTCAATTCATCGTCTACGATACAATACCCCTGTAAAAACGAAAGCATCACGGATCAGTGTGTGACGCACAGTGTCGCATACATACCTGGCATCAACATAATACAATGTAGAATAGAATACTGCGAGTAATAAACACAAGTATTACTACATTTTATTGGTGGAGAGACACAATAAACGCGCGTGCATCTGTTGTTACGTTTGCGTTATCATTTCATGCGGATGTAATTGCAATATATTTACAATACGATTTTATCCTCGTTGTAAAATTTGTTAAATTGTACCGCCACTAATGATAGTTTCTCCTTCTTTGTAGTTCTTTGCCATCGGGTAGCTGACATGTGACCGGTCTTTTTCCGATACACTAAAACGTTTAATCATGTGGCATTATTTATTACATCGAATTTTTTTGCATTCGACTCGGATGTCACTTGCTTCTTTCCCTTTCCTTCCTGTATAGAAAGATGGGAAATTGGGAGGAAGAGTGACAAGGTAAAGAAAAAATTAATTTTTTTAACGTTTATTTAGCACGTACGGTATCTTTTTTGTACGAATGATAATATGTAGCATACATGTACTTTTACGTGGTCAAGTGTACGAATACATACATATACATACATATATATGTATGTATATGTATGTATGTATATATATATATATATATATATATATACATAATACTAATTGAGAAAATAAGACGAACAAAATAGTCGTTTAGTTGGAAAAATTCAGGCAAATTTAAAACTATTTGCATTAATACATAATAGTCCATCACTCTGTACTTAACATATCTATATCTCTAATAAGCTATTAACTCTTTATTATTATTATTATTATTATTATTATTATTATCATTAATTTTTTTTACATTTTCTTTTTTTCTATTTTTTGCAATGATTTCTAGTATTATCTGTTATCAAGTCAACACTAAAGAACATATTTATTAGCAAGAACTCTACAATGTTAATTGATTGGAGATTACCATTGATGTTCTTTCATCATTGTGTACATCGTCATCGGTGTTGTCTTCGCTTACATCTAAATACATACATATATGTATATACACATATGTATGTATGTATGTATATATAACGGAACCCAATAAACGTTACCAAATAATCAGTCTGGCGACCCACAAGAGTACCATCGTTTACGCGTGTACGATAAGGAAATTAAAGGACACATGGCTTGGAACTCAAAATTATCGTACATATTTAAACGTATAATCGGTTTGTGAAAATGCTTAGCAGCCAAATTTTACGCTGATCATATATCGTTACGTGTACATGCATACAAGATACATTGTCGATATTCATAGTAATACTTCCAAACGATTCAGTGTTATGTAGTAATAGTAATAACAAAAAACAAAGTACGATGACATCCAATTTGTTGCAATTAACATTGAGATTTATCGGTAATAAATTTCTCTTACAATTTGACGGTTCGTTGTCTTATACACGCGTGGGTATGTTTAACGTCGCTACCGTCAAGTCGTATCGCGTGGGAACCCTCGTCAGCAGATTACGTGCTCCCAAAAAGAGTTATTAACATTGTATTGCTAAGAGAATGAATCAACATCTTTGACGACACATTGGCCTGTGTTAATGGTACGTTGTTCTAATGTAGTCCCAACTATTAGTGTCGGCTCATTTTTATACAGTGTTCGTTCCGCGCTCATCATACGTACACATTTATTAGGTCGTCCTAGAAACTTGTGCCGTTTTCTGCTGTGCAATTTCCCTACTCATTAATCTTTTGCTTGTTGGAAAGAAGAACTTGGTTCGCATCTCTCTCTCTCTCTCTCTCTCTCTCTCGTTTATGTGTATGTGTGTGAAGACGCGCGCGTGCGCGCACGTGTATGTTGCACATTGTATCTTAAATAAATTCGGATACACGAAATCATCTATTTCAAAGGAACGAATGAAACGGCACAAACTTTTCGGACGCGCACTTCTCTTAAATTTAACGCAAACATGTCTTAAAATATCGGAGCTATATTAAAAGGAAAACCGATTATGCCGGATGTCTTTTGGTAGATGATGATACATCAACGTGTTCCATTAAACAGAAATTATAGGTCTGTTATTAGTGTGTCGATACCTGCAATGACAAACAAAAAAAAGAAAATTAGAGGGAAAAATTGATGTCGAACAATGGGAACAAAAGAGAAATGACACGAAAGGAAACTTCTCGCGAAACTATACTTACGCGTTAAATTTGAGAGAGAAGCCAAACAACCGCTGGTCAATTATTCGATGGTATAGAGCATATACAGATTGCCGACATCACTGCCCGGTGGTACTAAGGCATGAGTGGGCGGTAGAACAGTGAAGCCCAAAAACATGAAGGTTCGAACCAGCATTGCTAAGTCATGACAACAAGGCATTTTAGACGAGAGAATGTTTTGTTGTTCGGCATAATCGTTTTCGTTAATATGAAATAACGGTAGTTGACAAGTACCTCGATCCGCTCGGTCTTTACGTAGACATACGATGATATTGTTGCATCGCAATGTTTCTTCGGCATATTCCAAAAGAGAGACGAAACCTTCTTTCGAACCTTCCGGTAAGAGACAGCTTGATACGCGAATATAAAGACAACGACGCCACACGACAGTTTCCCACTCGACGGATGTGCTCTCGGTCAAGTGTAACGTGAAGGTCAAACGCAAAGATTCACTATTTCGCACGGCTTTTAATAATTCATCCTCCTAAAAACAATATTCAAGAACATTCAACAATATTCAACGAGAACAACAACAAGATCGAAGCAAGCTGTACTACCTCGAGTATCTGTGCAAAGTCAATTGGTGCTGAGAAACGTTTCTATCTTTCCACGGATACATATCGTATTGTGTCCGCGTATTCGTTTTAACATACATACGTGCATACATATATACATACATACATCATACGTACATCATATATACATAAAATTCATAATATGTTTGAAAAGTGACTTTTGCATGTCTAGTACTTGAACAGATCGATTGAGAACGACTTCGCGAACTCTCGTCGTAACGGACAAAATTCGAACGTTCTCGATAGCATAAACGAACGATAGCTCTTCGTTCTGTATGATGCTTACTTGTACAATGTGGGAGCTCACAGAGAGCTGACTCTGCTTGATCCCCACGCCGCGGCTCTCTGTGTTGACTGTGGATACAGACAATGCGGCATGGGGCACATCAGGACCACCACAGAGGCCCTACACCCAGCGTTATACAGTAATGTTGTTGCAGTGTGCAACCTTCTTCTAAACTTTCATCCATACACTTAGTAGACATTTCACTGAAATTAACCAATATGCGATCAGTCAGCATATAATAAATTCTTACCTCGCCGGAACGGCTGCGTATAATACGGTACAAAAACGATAGAAACACGATGTAAAATATCTACTTGAAATGTAAAGGTCCACCAGCTGTTACGTTGGCACGTTACAAACAGGCGGATGCTAATCGAGAGAAAATACGTAACAATATTCAATTTCGTAAGATACTATTTAATCTTAAAACATCGTCGTCTACCATCCTTCGGTGCACGTTTAACAATCAATGAAAAGACGTTACGAAACAATCTTCTCTTGTTAACCTTCCGCCGTCTAATATCATTACATTCTGACGAGAATCGTGTACGTTATGTGTTCTTCTAGTCTGCTATTTTGTCTCTGTTATTGCACACATTATACATGATATGTGGAACACGCCGTTAGAGATACCAATATTTTCAACATTTTTTTTCATTCGATTTAATCGAAATACATAAAACGGTCAATCGAATAATCTTGTTGGTTTTCGATCTAATATTGCGACGAATTTCCAATTTCGTTCAATATAAAAGTTTATGTAGAAATATGTCCGATATAAACACGCGACCTTATTATCTTATTATCTGTAACCCTAGGGATTTATATATGTATCTTTTTTGCGTCCGACACAATGGAATTTTTCTGATCAGTTGACTAATATTCAAGATAAGATTGCACGTGTTTCTAGATAAAAACATGTTTGAATTATATTGCAGTCATATATGTAAGTATAGCATGCAACAGTACATATGTATGTGTACATGCATGTATGCGTATGTATCTATGTATCTATGTATAGCAACCTATCTACCTACCTAATTGCATGTAGAGACTCACGTTTAGAACAAATATCGTGTAAAACGAAATTCATATTTTCTTTTTACATCAGCTTTTCTCGATACTAACAATTTTCCAACAAAAACAAAAATTCATCGTGTTTCCGTTATTTTTACATCGTTAGATTTAGGTGCATGTGTCAATACGCAATACGTATGACGGAACAGCTGATGGAGATACTACACATAATAATGTAGATCCGCGTGCATGTATATTGTACTGTACAATATCAGATTCTACGCTACACGAATCATATTCACGTGGCAATACACGCGCGCGCGCGAACGCACGCACACGCACACACACACACACACCAGTCTCTTTTTTCTCTCTCTCTCTCTCTGCAAATCTGAGATCTACTGATGGAACATTATTACTCCCACGCCTTCCTCAACCTTCAACGCATTTCTCACATTACGCATTATGATTGATCATACTATATAACGTATTGTTGAAATGAAAAAAAAATTGTTATATGTATCACTGAAAATACTCAACTTGAAATATATGCAATTTCTTTTGTTATGCGTTTTCAAAATTAAATATAATCGTGTTACAACAATGTGTCACTCGTTGACACCCTGCCTATGCATATTATTAGAAAATCGACCAATTACGCTTGACAAAATGGACCATTTTCGAAATAGACACGGACATCTGTGACATATCGATCGCATAATTCCTGTAACATATGAAAAATGCGAAGAAACAATACGCGTTCTAATAAATATTGTGCAAGATGGCGGTAACAGAGACAAGTTAAAAATGGCGCAGTAGTCGCACAGCACTTACCAATTGCTGGATATTAGACTTGGCATTATTAAGCCCTTTTTACTACTTTCACAATTACTTAATGGTAGACTGGAGTTAATATTCATACTTCTTTCTTCGTAAAATTTTGGCGGCCGTAAAGTTCCCTCTTTCTTAAGACCAAAATGTTCGCTGGACGAACGATTGTTGCGCGATAAGAATTATCGAAGAATATCACCAACACGCAAGCAACTGTCTTACTCGAACGTACGAAACGGTACTGAAGTACGCTGCATATCGAATATCATTCTCGAATTTAACGTGTTCCGTTTCGACTTGTGTCGATTCAATTCGACTCGATACGATGCCATTCGATCAAATTCTAATCGATTCAATCTATTTGATGTATTTGAAACTTCTTTAACGAAAACAAAGATACCTATATGAACTCTTCTAAATCGATGTTATAAATTGTAAATGAACAGTTGTCAACTTCGTCGTTTTCAATTATTTTTATTCATCAATAATACGTATAACCATCGCTGAACATATTTTCTGACCTGAATAAACAGCGCTGAATTTTGATAGCACAAAAATGTACATTACTATTACCGGTTAAATCGATGAATTGATAAAAGACAATGTATGTAAGATGATTTTATAGATAGACATATGTAAATCATTATTATTATAAATTCGAGTTAATCACTAGAAGGTGACAAATTGGAATATTAGACGAATACATCGACACATTGGGTTAAAATAGGAATCACAAATTTCCATTCGAGTGTTAACAATTATGACAAGTATAAATATTTAGTTTTGGTTGGTTTTATGTGTTGTAGAAGGAGATAATGCAATTCCAACATTAAGCTTCTATTTTAGAAAATTTTATTTCATTCGATGCATTGCAGTTTTTAATCTAGAACAATGTTAATTGTTTGAACAGAAAATAACATGATTGCATTATTGTGTTGAAAAAAGGTAATATCTACAACCAAGCCATACATAGTGTATCCAATAAAATCATTTGTATACCAATCGAGGACATACAATAATACGCAAACTAAATTGACAGAACAGCATATGGAATGTATCGAATATTATCAACAGTTCACAAAGTCAATTTGCGGCCTTTTCCATGTTCAAATTACAGTTTAATTTCAGACTGTTCGCTTTCTCTATATAACTTTAGAAATCACAAATATTTACTGATTCTAAACAAGCTTTCATCTCTTTGTACGTCGTAGTCTGTATTGAAAATATCGGCAATCACATTTTTCTGTACAAAATATTTCGACGATCGACATAGTACAATGAGAAAACATTGTTAAGAAATGTTGCAATTAACAAAATTCTTCGTGAAGCAATGAATGAGTTATTACTGTTTTGGGGAATAAACATTCAACCACACATCACTTGACGAACAAAATCTTCATAATTAATATTACCCTGTGAATCTTCATGGCCAGCTAATAACGTTTCAACCTCTTCGTCGCTGAGCTTCTCCCCTAAAATAAAGCATAGATAATGTTAATTTTGTGAAAAAATATTTTTCGTGGATAAAAGGAAAATGGTTTCTTTTCAATACCCAGCGTTGTTAGCAGATGTCTCAATTCAGCAGAAGATATAAAGCCATTTCCATCTTTGTCGAAATGACGTAGACCCTCTATAAAGTCATCGGCTGTGTCCGATGTACGAGATTTGCTTATAGCCTGATAAATGGGTAGAAACACTTCGAAACTAATACGTTCGTCCGGTTTATGTTGATGGGTGAACTTCTTTACATCCGATTCGGTTGGATTTTGTCCAAGAGCTCTCAAAGCATCTCCAATTTGAGCTACATGAATCTTTCCATCTCCTCGACTATCAAAAAGCTGGAATGCCTCCTGAAATTCTACAATGGTACAAGGAATTCTTGTTTATTATGGCTAGTAAATAATTAACTTGGCTTTTACTAGTAGACACGTGTAAAAGAAAGATTTTCAACGAATTCGAAAACACAGATTTCTAATAATTTATGTACTGAGATATTTACCCTCCATGGATGACATCATTCTATTAGTAAGCTCTTGATAACTACAACCGTACATCTTGCACCTTCTAACTTTGACGTTGAACAGAATTAAAGATCAATAGCAAATTGTTGAGAATAATAGAAAAAGACTTGAACGATTCTCCTTAGAACACTCACGTATGTTAGTACGTACGAACAAAATAATATTACCGCGAACAATGGCAAATAAACATCGACCACGAACGCAATATGTCACGGTCTCCCGTCTCACTTGTTCGAATATAAATCGAATTAAAGATAAGTTAGGACCGTAAAAAAATAGTAGTCGTACTGAATTTATGTTGACACAAATAGTACGGAAGGCACAGTATTAGGAAATCATTTACAAATCCGACATAAAATCGTACGAACAAACCGACGTAACGATATTGATGCTATTCGCTTTCTGCGATCCTTTCTTCTTTTCTGTTACTATTCCTTCAAGTACCTAACCATAAAAGGTAATGACCGACACGTAAGTTAGTGACACCAGGGTGTGGGTCTAATAAGGTAACGATATTCTTGACCTGAATTAAACACTGGGAAAAAACTGTCTGCCCCTCCTTGATCTTTGCTCTTCAAGAACCGATTTGCGTTCACTTACCTGCAAGTTGATCCTCCGAGTATGATGCCTGTAAACGAAATGTCACCACGATTTAGAATCTTCTAACATCGTGTTTTCTTCAAGAACCAGATGCAGATGCAAACTTACCATCCTGATTGCTATCACGCTATCAGACACGTACTAAAACACGCGCGACGATCTATCCAATCCTTCTATCTTGAATGCATACAGTGTATGTACGTACGTGTTTATGTACGATGTATGTATGTACGTACCATGCGTATACGTACAAAGTTGTATGCCTCTTGATGCTTCCTGTCTTCTGTAGGCTGTATTGCATGCATACGTATATAATACATATACATATACTTGTATGCACGTGTGTGTATATCGTACGCGAATCAAGTGGTGACGGTGATTGGTGACAAGCGCTTCGTTCGGTCGTTCTAGGAAGATTTTAACTCGACGTTCCTGCAAGGAACTGTCTCTCACTTGCCTGTTCATACATCTGTGCATGTACGTACATGAATCATTTCCGCTATCACCTCGAAGATACATACAAACACATATATGTACATAAATATGTAGCACCACTCGCGCGTTTCTTTGGAATGCATATCGAGTGGACAACATCGAGTGTACACTTTTCAGGTGTATCTTCTTTTTTCCTGCGTCAATTCAAGATTAAGTCTGTTCCAGATTACAATTCGGAAAACATGAAGGAAACAGCGACGATGGAAGGATACACATAGTACCTAAAAGTTCTGGTCTATGCGCGTCCAATGAATTTGTCACTTCTAAATCATAAAGCGTGTCGTAATGCAAATAAGATATACAGAATACTAGATTCTCACTAAGAAGATTAAATTTCTGAAGTATCGGTAACGACGAGCACGACACGGGAATGGTAATGGATTATGTATATGGTAAATACAGAAAATGAATGCGACGCGGTAATGGTAAAACCGCAGACGAGGTATAGGAGATAACAGTACACCTAGCACTCGATGTAAATTTTTGTTTTACAATTTCATACTGTATATTATACTGTATAAATTAAGTATTGTATAATATTGGAACTTTTACAATATTGTTTACCGTAAATATAACGATGTATCGTATCAATTTGAAAATACAGAGTGAAAATGCAAAGTGAAAATATAGAGTGAAATATCCGCATAGTACTTACTTGTACTTGTACAGGTAATCAACTTCGTTTTACGATTTCATAAGACGTTCTATTATTCGAAATGGTGCCATCATTTTTCTATCGTAAATATATCCAGTACATGTATGTATGTATTTATGAATGTATGTATGTACGTATATCGTACGTAGTTATCAAGTTATCGTTTATGAAACATATGTATGTTTAATACGTTTATGGAACAAAAGTGCATACAATTTATCCACTGAAAGAATTTCGATAAAAATGTTCAAATAGAAATGCTAACAGTTTAATCATTGTGTTCGTTAAGCAATCTTTGTGCGTACATTTGGGTAACGTTGTTGGTCCTTTTTCATTGAATCATGTGTGCATGGTGCCATACGTTAATATCTAGTCGTGTTGTGTCTCAATCAAATATTCTCCTGTACACTCGATAACGAATTCAAGTTGCAAACCTTGATGTGCCAAGAAGATATCGAAAGAATGCGTATACGCGCGCATATCAAAAATGGCAATAAAAAAAAAAAAGATGATTATCATCGAAATCATTGCAATCTTGTAAGATTCGTAGAAATTTGAGTGCACTAATACGAAACCTGTAAACTACCAACACGGCTTTGTTGCTTGCTTAAGTCTCTGGTCGTTTACCGTGAAGAAAAGTATATATCATATTTCTAAGTTCAATGTTCAATACAAACGAGGTGTCTTGAAGAGATTTATTAGTCATAGGACTTGTATATTTTCCGCATAGAAACCATTCGTTTATCGCTGCTCTCTCATACGTGAATCCATCTAAGGACAGATAAGAGTGATCGCGTGATTCAGATGTTACAAGTTATGTACAACTAACCGACGTGCATACTGTCGCATGAGATGGAGAATATTATAGATAATGCTGCTCTTACCGGAGCATCGAACAGGTTCCTTCATTATCTCATGCGTGATGGGGCATAGAAATTCATGAGGTATTTCAGCATCGTCTATGGAGGCTTCTACGACGTTGCTGTCCTCGCGTTTCAACCAATACAACTGAGTTTTAAATACGTCGGCCAACTTAAAAGATAAATACGTTTGAACTGTGAAATACATTTTACTATAGCGAATCTACGTATATCACAGTAAATCTTGTGACCCGTACTTGTTCGTCCTGTTCAATTTGTAGGATTTGTATTAATTGGTCGTCCGAGACGGTAAGCAATCGGCGACCAGTCAGAGACGATAGATTTGCTCTCTTCGTCAATGCTGACAGTCCTATTTCGTGCAGCCATCTCAAAGTGTCGTCGACCCTCCAGTCTGCGACCTGATGCATTACAAGTTCGACAGCATTAACCATTTCTATATTTCGGATAACCGTTGGTGTTTCAGACAAGTGCTATTCTCATCAGAAACATCCGAGTATATTCTACGGTTCTACCTGTTTCTTGTTCCTCTTGAAATTATCGATCAAGATATTCTGCGAAATTAGTTGTTGAGGCATTTTCCAGATTAGGATAGTTTTATCCAATGCACCTGTTCGTTTAAAAGACCTAGTCAGCGGCTATTGAAACGAAGAGAAACTGATACGCATCGCGGACAGTAGTACGAAACGAATATCAATCTACGAGGAGTCTATACATATAGTACGTGTACATATTGACCTGTAATAAAAAGCGACATGTTTTCGGAAAATGCGCAAGAGGTTACAAGACTTTCGTGTTCTTCTAGCACGTACAAGCAATCCCCAGAGTACTGAAATCACAGTGCAATCACAACAAAATTATTCCATTATACATATACGTATGTAGAATATAGAGTATACATAGAGTATATACAGTGATTTTGATTAATATTCGGACNAAAAAAAAAAAGATGATTATCATCGAAATCATTGCAATCTTGTAAGATTCGTAGAAATTTGAGTGCACTAATACGAAACCTGTAAACTACCAACACGGCTTTGTTGCTTGCTTAAGTCTCTGGTCGTTTACCGTGAAGAAAAGTATATATCATATTTCTAAGTTCAATGTTCAATACAAACGAGGTGTCTTGAAGAGATTTATTAGTCATAGGACTTGTATATTTTCCGCATAGAAACCATTCGTTTATCGNAAAAAAAAAAAGATGATTATCATCGAAATCATTGCAATCTTGTAAGATTCGTAGAAATTTGAGTGCACTAATACGAAACCTGTAAACTACCAACACGGCTTTGTTGCTTGCTTAAGTCTCTGGTCGTTTACCGTGAAGAAAAGTATATATCATATTTCTAAGTTCAATGTTCAATACAAACGAGGTGTCTTGAAGAGATTTATTAGTCATAGGACTTGTATATTTTCCGCATAGAAACCATTCGTTTATCGCTGCTCTCTCATACGTGAATCCATCTAAGGACAGATAAGAGTGATCGCGTGATTCAGATGTTACAAGTTATGTACAACTAACCGACGTGCATACTGTCGCATGAGATGGAGAATATTATAGATAATGCTGCTCTTACCGGAGCATCGAACAGGTTCCTTCATTATCTCATGCGTGATGGGGCATAGAAATTCATGAGGTATTTCAGCATCGTCTATGGAGGCTTCTACGACGTTGCTGTCCTCGCGTTTCAACCAATACAACTGAGTTTTAAATACGTCGGCCAACTTAAAAGATAAATACGTTTGAACTGTGAAATACATTTTACTATAGCGAATCTACGTATATCACAGTAAATCTTGTGACCCGTACTTGTTCGTCCTGTTCAATTTGTAGGATTTGTATTAATTGGTCGTCCGAGACGGTAAGCAATCGGCGACCAGTCAGAGACGATAGATTTGCTCTCTTCGTCAATGCTGACAGTCCTATTTCGTGCAGCCATCTCAAAGTGTCGTCGACCCTCCAGTCTGCGACCTGATGCATTACAAGTTCGACAGCATTAACCATTTCTATATTTCGGATAACCGTTGGTGTTTCAGACAAGTGCTATTCTCATCAGAAACATCCGAGTATATTCTACGGTTCTACCTGTTTCTTGTTCCTCTTGAAATTATCGATCAAGATATTCTGCGAAATTAGTTGTTGAGGCATTTTCCAGATTAGGATAGTTTTATCCAATGCACCTGTTCGTTTAAAAGACCTAGTCAGCGGCTATTGAAACGAAGAGAAACTGATACGCATCGCGGACAGTAGTACGAAACGAATATCAATCTACGAGGAGTCTATACATATAGTACGTGTACATATTGACCTGTAATAAAAAGCGACATGTTTTCGGAAAATGCGCAAGAGGTTACAAGACTTTCGTGTTCTTCTAGCACGTACAAGCAATCCCCAGAGTACTGAAATCACAGTGCAATCACAACAAAATTATTCCATTATACATATACGTATGTAGAATATAGAGTATACATAGAGTATATACAGTGATTTTGATTAATATTCGGACATCTTTTAAAACGCTACAACTTTTTGAAAACCGAACTAAACCGATTTCGATGAAATTTCCAACATGCATATAACTCATCGATATCTACAAAACGCATTTTTTAAATTTTCGTTTTCTATTTTCTTTCGTCGTTCCAAGCAATAGCAAAATTTCAAAAAAACATCCCAGTTATGGTTTAGTAGACTAGTCCCTGTAACAACTAAACAAAATTAAAGTCGTTTAGTCCAGTCCTAAAAAGGTTATCGCGTTTTAAAAGGTGTTGAAATATTAATCAGAGTCACACTGTATGTGCGTCGAATGTTTAAATATCGAGTACACTCACTACACTCCAAATACGAGCTGTTCTATCCGTTGCCACACTTCCTATAATTTCACCTTGAATCGGGGAGAATCGAACGCACGTCACGTTACCGCCGTGTCCTGTCAAAATCTTTTTCTGCTTAAACTGGCCATCGGAATCGTTGCTCCCAGTACTACCGCTTCCTACCGTTATCATCTCACTGTCTCTAGGCGTTGTAATAAGCCACAATTTCACCAACGAATCGTTACCGCTTGTTGCTAACAAATAAGATTGTCTACCATCGTCCGTCGGTCTTCTGCCTGCTATCCAAAGTAACATACACACATTATACATACTTGTACGTACATGTATAATGTGTGATAAATGGTAAATGGTCAGAATGATCATTGGTAACGATAACGCGTGATAGTTGCGCCACATTTTGGTTGTTTCGATATCTATTCGCTTACCAGTAAAATTCAAATTGCACGTTGGACTGAAATCGCAACCTTGAACGCCCAAATCGTGCGCTTCTTCGCAGGTCATCAAGGCAGTGTTACCACCCTTGTCGTCCATGGTATCAAATAATCTCCATGTTCCTTCGTTGCAAGCCGTTATCAAATAACGAGAATCATGCGTAAATGCGATAGCGTTCACCGCATCGGAATGACCTCTGAAAATACTGTATCATCATAGTTTCGATAAATAATATTGTTTTCTTTCGTCTTATAATGAGATTATTATTATTATATTTTCCTTCTCCAATGTATTCTACTACTAATTATACTACACGACATGAGAGATTAAAGTACCGAAGTTCCACCATATCATTGACATCCCATAGCGTTGCTCTTTCGTCGTCTCCGGCCGTAGCAAATTTCGATCCGTCCGGCGACCATCGACAAACACGAACACCGTAACCCGAGTTTACGAAAGAAGATTTTGCTTGGCATCCATTCTACGGCAGTTGTACGTTGTATCCGAGGATGATTTATAGAAACGTACACGTGTAAATAGATGTATGTAAGATAGGTATATATAAGGGACATGTGTACGCATACGCGGATGATTACCTCGGTATTCCAAATGATAGCAGTACCGTCTAAAGAACAAGAAGCGAGCATAGTACCGCAAGGACTGAATTCCACGTGATTTATACTGTATTTGTGACCATCCAGCGGACTGTAAGATTTCTCCAGACATTTCGTAACAGCAGCATCTTCATCGCCATCTCCCATCTCGTCATTGGTTACGATACTCCACACGCGCACCAATTTATCTCTACGTTACGATTAGAAAGATTAGAAGATCGGGACATTCATCATACGACAATAATTGCACATTTCGACTAACCCCGATCCGGAAGCGATTAAACGATTGCCATAACAAGCTACGCTGTTTACCACGCCACCGTGGTCCTCTAGTCTTTGAATCAGTTGTACCTCGTTGATCGATGTTTCCGCATTTTTCATCACATCTTGTTCGTGTATCGCATCCTACGAAACAAAGGTCCCAGTATCTGTGTTCACAGGATGTCAAAAAATGTTTTGTCATAACCAAGGTAGGTGAGTTGGAAAAAATCGGTCAAGGACACTTTTTTTTTTTTTGACAGATCTTCACCGATCCGAGGATTCAGAGTTCACACTTGTGCTAATCACGACAAAACATTTGTTGTCACCCTGTACAATCTTGCGAATGATTTTCCATGCGTCATAGTATTTGCGTGAGCGTGTTTGCGAACCGTGTAATATATCTCTACCTTTTCGTGGTCCGCTGTCATCAATGCTGCAGACCCGAAACTTGGCGAAAGTTCCGATTCGAGGCACAAACTACCCGTTAAATCCCAAATGATCACCGACTTGTCGTTGGAACCTGAATCATGCATAGATATCATTCCAACGATGTTTGTGTAGAAAAATAAAAACGAGGCTCTACATTTCTTTCCAATATATGCCACAAACTGTACTGCTAATACTACCAGTCGCTAATAAGTGTCCGTCCCTCGAAAATGCGCAGCATGCCACGTATCTATTGTGCCCCGACAATATCGCCGTTACTTTGCCCGTGCTCTGAAATCCGAAATTTGTTTCATCATCGAGCAGCAGTTTCGTTTTTGTTTTCCGTTTGTTGTTGCTGCAATAACTAAAAGCTAAAAGCTAAAAACTAACAATTAAAACTTAAAAATTAACAACTAAAGACCTACCGTTTCCCAAATTACCGCAGTTTTGTCGAGACCACTGCTGACCACGTATAATCCATTCGAGTTGAAACGAACGCAAGTCAAGGCACTACTATGCTTCTCCATGATTCTGCAGATAGTTATTTTGGCAGTGAACATTTGAGCTTGTCCCTTTGCTCGTATCACCGTTACCTCCCACAGTTTCACGCAATGATCGTTTCCACATGTGACCAGTTGATACAGCTTTGTGAACGGTTCACTGCCTACATACGACAATACAACGTACCAATGTATGGATACTGTTTTCAGCGTGATTTCAACGATTGATACAAGAAAGTTGGTTAAGTGTGTAGGTAGATTGATAGAAAGAGAGACATATCGTATCGTTTACGTACTTGTAACTTGTTGAAAAGTCGAAAAATCGCAAGAAACGACACCTAAATCATGAGCATCGTCTATCCAGGCAAACGCGGTAATTGCTTGTTTATCAGACATGCACGACGAGTCGATAATATCGGCAGTGGAAAATAATTTTAAGACCCCAAAGGTGCAACTTGTAATCAACCAACTCGAGTCCGGTGAAAAGCATACGCTCTGTATAGCACCGTCGTGCTTTTGGAAACATCTATACAGTACAGTATGTGAACATAGGTATCGTTTCGTTTTTAGAAGCATGCACGCGCGCGCGCGCATACATACGTACGAATATTAGAAAAATTATATAGAAAAATTACACCAAAAGACCATGATATTGCTTTTTACTTGATTAAATTGCGTCGAATCAAATCCCAAAGGCAGACTTGTCCGTTATCTCCGGCAGTTGCAAGTAGCATAGAGTCTGACGAGAATCTACAAACTCTTACAGCTTCGCCGCCCACTTGGACCATCGTATGAATTTTCAATCCGGTCTAAGAAGAGAGGCATGTATATACGTAAATGCGCGCTTTATATATATACACACACTCGCACGCGCGCACGCCAATATTGTATATACATACATACATACACACACACGAGCGCGCGCGCGCGCGCGCGCGCACGCACACACACACAACAGTGTACACATGCAACGTGTATACACGTACATTCGTTTATGTATACATGTGTATGTGTACAAATTACATGTACAATTTGTGACGAGCATTCGAATCAACGAGTGTCTAGATCGTACACGATAAGAGTACAGCATACCCGCAAGTTCCATAATAGCGTTGTTCCGTCTATACTAGCCGAAGCCAACATCGTCGATCGGGGGCTTACTTTTACCGATGTAATGCCATATTTGTGTCCCATTAACGGTGAAAAACATGCTTCGACGTATCCACTGCACGCTCTCCATTGCCACACCCGAATACGTTTATCCCTAACAATCAGAGTAACGGCATACGTATAGCACAGTAAACAGTAGCTAGTTGATAGATGTAATATTCACAATACATACACAGTACATACTACACGTTACCTCGATCAATGTGCAACGATAACATTTGACAAATTACGATCGTTTGTTTGTTTCTTGATCTTTTTAATTCCCTTACCCTGATCCGGTTACCAATACGCAATCGCTGGCGAAATCAACAGTTGTCACGTCGCTCGTATGAACAGCCAAGGTTTGCAGAGCTTGCACATCACCTATGTTGACGGTGGCAGCACTCATATTACTTGTACTGAAAATAACAAGGATACAACCATTCCTCTTTCGTTTATCTTTCGCGTTCTTCCTCCTTTCTTTCTTAAACAAAGTCTTTGAACAACTTGACGGTTCACCCGCCGTTCCTCTATTAAGAATCACACGCGGAACCTGGTTCGATCATTTTTCAAGTAAACCGACCAATTTGCATTGCGAAGAAATACGCCGCATCGGGAAATAAGTATATGTATTATACATGTACGTGGTAAAGTAAAACGCGAAAGCATCGTGACCTTGACATTGATTACCGTGCCCGTTCCGTAAACGTGGCTCTATCGTACACGATATTCAAGAGCTGTACACGTTCGATTGGGCGGAAGCATTGTAATTTGTACTTGCGCGCGGGTTTGGAATCCAAATTTCATTTATTTCCTTCGAACGAAATGTGAAAAAGAAAATCCAACTTTTGCACAGCTATGGGCAACGTTGAGGATTAATAAGAAATCAGCGGTGCATACTACTTGGAAACGTCTTCTAATTTGAAAATTTGGTTTTCTGCTTTTGTTTCCTTTTCTTTTTTTCTTTTATCTCCTCTTCCGAAAACATAATACTTGGAATAATAATTTTCGACGATTTCGAAACAAATATACCCATCTATACTGCATATCGTAGAATTTGATTGAAAACAATGGAATCTTTGAACGTTCTGTTCATTTATTCCTTGACAGGTTGAAACACTTATCTAATATAAAATACCGCCGAGAACCAACGCGAAACACAGAAAAAAGGAGGGTGAACGATAGTAAAACATGTACACTCACGTTATAAGTACAAACGCAGGTGTAGCAAATGTCACTGCAAATTCAGAAAATTCCGTTCGAACTGCTGCATTTTATGTATGCTGCGACGAATATCGCACGTATACGATATGAAAGAAAATATATATTATATATTTATGTAGTTGAGACAGTGTCGTGAAAACTTTTCCGAGCAAGGCATTCGACAATGTCGCTAACTAATGTCGAATCGACATTATGACGCTAACGCGTTAAACCAAAGACTACGGATTCCTAACTTCGTGTTTAAACGCATGCCTACTTGGCCGGTAAAAATCGATATACTACAAGAATAGAATCAGTTTTATCCCCGAATAAGTATACCTGCTTTGCGATTGAGTACACGGAATACATTGTTTCAAAGCTACATATGTATATCATTCACAATTAAAGAAAAATCTGAAACACATTCAGCTAAATTTCGAAAAAAGGATCCTTGCAAGCATCCCAACAACATTTTGTCGTAGACGGTTGACTGGTTTTTTCGTCGATAGTGGATCGCAAAATGGACTTTTATCACTCATTATCGAACGATTTTTTTTTTAGTTATCCGTCGTTTAGCAATTTTCATTCTTGATGCCATTTATGAAAAACAACTGGAAACGATCTTGAAACTAAAACACCTTGCAACTCGCAACGGCGTCACGTCACGCACACAAGCTCACCAGATCGATTGGAAACCGAACTAACGTCGTTTTCAGGTTATGCTTGAACACCGTTAGAAATCGAATTCATAGAAAGCGATGCAACAGTTTCCTTTCATCTCGAAGTGGAAATCATTGAACAATCGTGATTCGACAAAGATTAATCGTTCAACAATATAAACAGAAATTGTAATTTTTGTTTCCCAGCCGATCTTTTAATATTTCCTCTACAAACATTTGTATCGATCGTCGCAATTGCCCCATAAACAACGTAGAGTTGTCTACAAACAGTCCTTGTGGCACAATTAGGGCGTGAGAAAAACTAAATCAAAGTCACAGGATTGTTCACGGAGAATCTGCTGTGCATAGATATCGTGTAACAAAACCAAACGACACCAACGTGAAATATAATTAGTTAATATAATAGTTGGCCAAACTTGAACGAGCAATTAATTACGTTCCGCAATGTTGTCATCGATTTCTTGTGTATACGATGTCGATATTTTTTTTTTTTTTTATTGCCTAATTTTGATACAATTAATGTTTTCAAGTGACTCTACATTCTGCGTATATGGCGCCATTGCTGGAGAAAAAATGAAGCTCCATTCCTCTATCGGTACAGCGCCAATTAATCCAGCGGGAAAACGTTGAAACCGGTAGCCAAAATGTATCGCCGATAATTTGGCTAACAGTTT